TCTAGGCTTGACGGAACCTGTGACACGGTCAAAATGGCGGTGGTGGCCACATCCCATTTATCTTCAAAAATGTGTTATTGGAGCCTTTGGAAACCCATTGGCCAATATTTATGTGTCGATGGACAAACCTCACAGCAGATGACGTAACACAATAGATAGAACTGGTAGCCAACTCCACTTACTTCATTTAACCGGAACCACATACAAACTACAAGGCTTCACTATGGGAAACCCACCATCAGCCACCCTTTGCAAATTCTTCATGGAAGACCTGGAACCGAAAGCCATAGCCACTCCCCCCTCAGACTTCTAAATAAAACTATGGAAACACTACGTGGACGACATCTTAGAAATAATTCATAAAGGACAAACGGAGACACTAACAAAACACCTGAACAGCATTGAAGTCACCAATAACAAAGTTTACATATGAAGAACGGTCATGGACTTGAGAATAACCAGGCAGACAGATGGAACCCTAAAAATAAACACATACAGGAAACCAACACACACGGACCAATATTTATTATGAACATCAGAACATCCCATGATGCATAAAATGTCAGTTATCAGAACATTATACCACAGAGCAAATATAGTAATGGAAGAACAAGATCGCAAACTGGAGGACCGACACATACAAGTGCATTAAAAACCCGCGAATACCCAACATGGGCAATAAGAAAAGGAAAACTATAAATAGAAAAGAAAAAAGAACCAGAGACACAGAAAGACCAAAACCAGTAATAACCCTTCCATATATCAAAGGCATAACAGTGAAAATAACAGCAATGAAAAAACAGAATATCATCACGCCAACAAAACCGTACATGACCGACAGAAAAAGATTAGTACACCCAAAGAACGAGATATCAGCAGGGAGATAATGTGGTCGTATGGAAATCCCAGGTAGACTCTGCAGTAAAACATATGTAAAAGAAACCGGACGCCAACTTAACACACGAACAATAAAACATCAAAGGGAGTGTGAGAGGGAAACAAGTGTGAGACACAAGAGCAGAAAGTACAACAAAGACATCAGCTGTAAGGGACCCCTGCACCAGAGAAACCCACATAACGGACTGGGACGGCACACGGGTCATAAACACACAACACAAACATAAAAGCAGCAACACAGATAAGGAGGCGTGGCCACAGGACCATGGACAGAGACGATGGAGTCTACACGATAGATCACTCATGGGACCGTGTCATGAGGAAGTCAGACGCAGGCAGTAGAGGGCGACACGTCCTCTGCTGCCTGTGGAGAACAGGAAGTGACGCCATCAGCGGTGATCTCTGTGGATGGCCAGAGCTACTAGCTGAAACATGTCCGGTTAACTAATAACTTTTACTAAAGTGTGTAAGAACAAAAAAACATTTTGACTCATTTGTTAACTCTCCAAATCCTTCACACTTCACCTCAAAAGAAGTTCTGTGGACATAACACAACTAGAAATTTAGTTTTTATTTGGTGAGGATTGAAGCTAAAGAAAGAATATGTAAAAAAAATTGTGACTTTTGAAACATCATGTAATTTTTATTTTACATTTATTGAATGTATGACTACACAAAAATAGAGTAAACAAAAAATATTTTTATGCTCATTTGTGACTCAAAAGCCCTCACATTTCACCCCCAGTCCTCTGAATATAACACACAAAATTATTTTTTAATACTGATTTTGACTAAACATGGCACTAAAGGGGTTAAATCTCAAAAACACAACTATTTTATTGTTGGCTAAGGACTGAAGCTATAGGTGGGATTTTTGTTAAAAAAATAAATTACATTTTGAAATGATGTATTTTTTATTAAACCTTGTGCCAAATTGCTTTTTTTTTGTTCAAGGGCCCCCAGTGTAGCTTCTTTTAAGGAACCTCTAAGGGTTAAGTACCTCAGGGTTTTGTTGACAAGGGAAAGATGGAGTGCAAGATCAATATGCAGATTGGCACGGTGTCTACAGTAATGTTGGCATTGTACCGGTCTTTCATGGGGAAGAGAGCTGAGCTGGAAGGCAAAACTTTCGTTATACCATTCAATCTAAATTCCAACACTCATCGATGGTCAAAATCTTCGGGTATTTTCTGCAGAGTGGCTGGGCTCTCCCTTAGAAATACAGTGAGAAGCATAATAATCCAAGAGGGGCTTTGAGTAGTTCCACTGCTCCTCCATACTTGGAAGCCAGTTGAGGTGGCTCTGCTAGTGGCCACCAAGAACAGGACAACCAAGCCAGCCTTGCCCTGCCCGCTGGCTGAGAGAGGACGGTGGATTGAGGGTTTAGTTTTGTGACGCAATCGTGGAATAAGAATAAAGACTCAACAGACATTAAAGGTACAGTGTTTTTAATGAACGTCTATTATCATGGCAGAGTTGCAATAAAGAAAAACATTTTAAAAAATGAGCCGCCCCACCTCCCTCCAAAAGTAGCAGTCTTTAATTTGAGCAAATATTCCTTTCAAGTCACATCCTTCACACAACATGAGATAAAACTGACCAATCAAAAACAATTTCATCCTCTTTGAGAAAAGTTAAACTACACAGTTAAAGGTTTACACCGATCAAAATGTATAGTGAAGTAGTTCCATCGGAGACAACTCAAATAATATGTGTCTGATAGAAACAGAACATTCATTTTACAATAAAAATATTTGCACAAAAAAAAAAACTAGGGAAAAAAGGTAACACAAAAATATATAGAAATGTTTGCTTTTTATCTTGATTACAGTCACAACACAGCTGTAGCAACGAATCTGAAAGATTTACAGAAATGAAGGACCCCCCCCCCGACTCGATTGTGTTCATTTTGAAAAGCGTATACTGCGATTACAACGGATTCCTGACTGAACAAAAGCTGCACATCAAATCTTGGATATCAAGACTATCAAAAAGGCACAAACAGACAGGTTGCACGAAGAACTCATAAGCTTTTTTACATTTTTCTTTTTAATACAATGAATCCTGGTAAGGTTCTCAATGCCCCTAAAGTCTCCCCCCCCCCCCCCCCCCCCCCCCCCCCCCAAAAAATAGACTATCTACAGGAAAGTCAGGTCCTGGCAGGCACCTCAGATTACAGTCCCGTCCAAACTACCGGAGAAGAGAGTGCATTAAATGACTGACGGATGAGTGTGAGGGGCGCCGAGGCATCCGGTTCCATTTAAGTGCAAAATCTGTCATTTCTGCAGTGAAGTTTTGGTCACAATCTGTTCAAATATAATCTCTAGTTGACAAGAGAGCCATCTTGTGGGTGCGAACGATGAGTTTAAAGTTTTTAAATGCATTTTCTTTTCATGCAACACTTAAATGTCAATTTTGCTGAAACATTTAACTGCTGTGCACTACAATGATTTACTGCTGCATTGGATGCTAATTTACAATGCACTCACATTTAGGTTAAAAACATCTTGAAATATTGAAGTGCGGTTTGAACGTCTCATGTGGCTGCAGCGATGTCTTGTGCACTCGCGGGTGTGTTTGTATGCTGTGACATCATGGCAGGGTGTGGTCAGAGGTGCCACAGGCATACCGATTGATTATGGCTTGATTGTGGAGCTTCAGCGTCCTCTTTAAGAGACATGTTGCACGTAAAGTCGCGCAAATTGTTCCATCGAGTTTTTAAAACATCAATGCTCCAGGTTTTGCTGAAATGTGACTATTTTCATATGATAATGAGAACTCTGATGTTGCTAAACTTTTCAACTCCTGACCATCTAAAAATATTTACACTTATTTATGTATGTATGGACATCAGCATGGCTTTTTCTTTTGAAGAAACTTAAAACGCTAATGATTTTTATACAGAACCAAGTCTCTGAACGAGCCACAACAATGTTCGCTTACTTTTACATTATTGAAATTGTTCCCAAAATTCATTTTTCACAATCTTTGGCTCAGATTTATTTGAAGCGCCAAACAGAGAAATCTAAAAAATATCATCAAACAAAGTTGCTGTTTGACTTTGTGACAAAATCCAATGGTTGGTTGTTCTCTAAACTCGAAGGCTTTGAAGGTTAATGTGATGTTTAAAAAAATCCAGATTTTATTAAAGCGTCAGATTTGGTCAGAGGCTTTAGTTTTTAATCCAAGTTGGTAGGAAACCACTAGACCAACGCAAAACTTTACTTATTTAAGCCTTCAAGCTTTTCCTCTGAATTCCCTTGTTTTCCACAAAAAAGTCTTCCCCTTCTTTAAATTCCTTGAAAATAAATGTTTCTAATTCAACAGTCTTCAATCTGATCAGCAGTCACTGAGAAAATGTGGTGGTTCGGTCTTGACTTGTGCTGCAGTGATGCATGTTTGGTTTTATATCTGCTAAAACAGATGCAACCAGAGAAAGGGTACAACCCAAACACAAAAGAGAAACATTTTACTACCAACGACACCAATTCTGGTTCAGTGTCTAATCTAATTTTTCTCTACTTTCATAAACTGCAGCAGGTAAAGTATGGGGAAAAATACCAACTCAGATGTTGAAAAGAGAGAGAGAGAGAGAGAGAGAAAGAGAGAGAGAGAGAGAGAAAGAGAGAGAGAGAGAGAGAGAGAGAGAGAGAGAGAGAGAGAGAGAGAGAGAGAGAGAGAGAGAGAGAGAACAAACATAACAGAGAGAATAGAGGGCAAAAATAATAATAAAAAAAAAAAAGACAAGAAGCACCTTGTGTTGGAAAGTGATGCACCAAAAAAAGGTAGAACAAAAAGAGGCTAGATACTATGCCGGTGGATCTACCCGGCTTTTGTGGCACTTAACATCATCATCTTTGTATACAGAGCTTATAACAGTCATGCAGAGGGCACAGTTTTATTCTAACAAGGCGAGGGCGAGAGAGAGAGAGAGAGAGAGAGAGAGAGAGAGAGCGAGAGAGAGAGAGAGAGCGAGAGAGAGAGAGAGAGAGTATGCCAAGAGAAAATACGACAAGACAGAATGGGAGACACGACATTTTTCTGGAATAAGTGTTTAAGAACCCGACGAAGAGAAATGCCCCGATATGAAACGTGTCATCCTGTACAGATGTAATAAATAATCTTTATTTCCTTGCGGCAAAGGCAGAAGTTTACATTAAATCTGGAAGTACAGATTCCACAAGCCAATAAGAAATGAAAAAGGAGTTTTTATTCTAAAGGAAAAGCTAACTCTACATTAAAATATCCTAAGACTTCTTTATATTCATCTCCAACTAGATCATGTTCTTGCATTTGGGCATTCTCTGCATGTTTAAGATTAAAATACAAGATCTGATAAAATAAACATCCCCATCCACAGGTAATGGCTAGTGGCCAGAAAAATCTGGCTCATTCTGTCATTTAATTGCATAAATCTGGCGATTCAATTTGAGATTTTTCCTAAGGAGAGAAAAACTACCAACGGAGGTGAATGCTACCCTTGTAGCAGAGCTTAGCAAACTTAAAATAACCGTTACTTTATTTAAAGATGGATGAATCTCAAGAAATAACCTGCAACTTTTGTGCAAAGCAGTGGCACCACAAAGACCTGACGGGCGTTAAAAAGGTCTCAAGGCGTTTGAGATGCACACGAAAATAATCGTTTCTCTTGGCTTTAAAACCCAAATTTACCCAAACCATCAGCTGTGATGCGACTCCCGCTCCTCCCCCGAGAGACCGAGCGAGTGAGACAGAATGACTGATTGATTCCTGACGCCGTTCCTGAGCAAAGTGGACGTGACGAGAGACCCGAGTAATCCGGGAGACACGGAAAACAGGAGAGGAGGATTAAAAACAAAGCCAAACGAAAACGGGAGAAATGAAATCACAGAAACAGCGAGGAGGTGAGGAGGAGCAGTGGTGATGCAGAAGCTTGTCCACAGAGTCATCTGGAGAAGAAAAACAGAAAATAAACGGCATGAAAACATGGCTCATCTCTGGTTTTAATGTAATGATGAGGGGGAAACCGTAACCCTAAAGGTTGGTTTATGCTTGACTGCATTGTTTAGTTTTCCACCTCATCAAGTGGTGGGATTGGGATTCGGCAACAGGACACCATGGCTGTAGCAATGGTACGGAAAGGCAGGCAACTCAAGTCTCTCAAAAACGGCAAGAAATGCAATCACAAAATGGCGATATTCATCAAAAAGCTACAACTGTGCAAGAACGAGACAAACATTTAAAATTCATGTCATTAATAACCAAAGTTAAGACTTCACTACATTTCTTAAGGACTTTAAGGGTCTTCATTTTCCTTCAATTAATTTATCTTCAACTTTAAATTGATCAATTTCCTTTTAATCATTTTCCAGAAATTACAATAAAAGTTGAAGGTTTCTCATGACTTCCTGCACTTTTACAAGCTGAAAAATAAAATATTTTATCAAATAACAAAATACTTTTTTTCTTAGGCAACATAAAAACTTTATATTTTTTATAATATTTTATTTTAAAGGTCTAAAATAAGCTTTAACGGCTGAATCAGAGTAACAAAATCATAAGATTTTTTTAACCACCACCTGTTTTAAATGTGGCTGCAGTATGACTCTCTTACACAGCAAACTTAAGGATTTCCCACGATAAACTGAACTCAACTGGAACGTGCACTTTGTGAAGAGCCTTGAGACGATTCGTCGTGATTCGGCGCTACATAAACAAACCGAGCTGAACTGAACTGCAGTGACAAGTGCCTACCTGAGAGAAACGTTAAGATCTAAAGCCGGGCTGGAAACGTGCGGTTTCTTCAAAGATGAGCTCCTTCAGCGTCTCTTTGGGTAGGTCGTCCAACTCCATGTCAAACTTGAACGGAGCCTCGGCAACCGGCTTTACAGGACAAAGAGGAAGTGTTGAAATGAACGCGTAAACACGACCTGGCTCTGCCGTAAACCCCACGACTCACCTCGTCTGTCGGGTCGTAATATTGCTCCAGGTAGGGGTGAGCCAGGGCCTCTTCCACCTCAATTCTCTTGTGAGGGTTAAAGGTCAACATCTTGTCCAGCAGGTCCAGAGCTGCAGTGGAACAACAAGAAAGTTCGACCTGATAAACGTGAGCTGGCCTAACCACTAGAGGGAGCCATAATCTTAAGTGGTTCATGGACAATAAACTACTTAGAACCTGGAAAAATAACCAAAAATCATGACTTTTGGCAACAGACAGACATGATTCTATTACATCGTCCATAGATGGTACTTCAGTTGAAAGAGTAGATTAAGTACGATTTCTAGGGGTTGTCTTGGATCATAAACCAACTTAGAAATCAGATAAAAAATAAATAAAACTAAAACTTTGTAAAAGTCTCAGACTTTTAAATGAAGTAAAGAGTATTTTGGAAACATCATCACTTCATATATTATTCACTTATTGTTCCATGTTTGACTTATTGCATAGAGGCGCAGGGCAATACATATGAAACAAATACTAATCCTGTTTCTACTACAGACATGGACGTAATTTTTGGGAGGGACAGGGGGGGACATGTCCCCCCCCCCCCCCCCACTTTTTCCAAAGTCAAGTTTTGACCCCTGCACTTTTTACCATCCAAAAACAATATTACGCTATATTAAACTGACACTGGTTGAGCTCTAGGACCAAGCGGAAAACAACCGTTTGTGTTAAAGCCCGTTTCCCATTAGAGCATACTGTAAAGATACCCCCCCACTTCTAAAGTGAAAATTACGTCCATGACTACAGAAGAAAGCTATGAGAATTATATGTAAAGTAGATGCTAGAGGACATACTAATACAGGGTATCTGCAGGTTTAGGGGAGCCAAATTTAAGACTTTTTAAGACCTTTTTTAAGGCCACTTTGACCAAATTTAAGCTATTTCTAAAATTTAATTTAAGCTATAATTTCCAGCTATTGCCTGGAACCAGTGCTAACCACGTTACGAACGTGGGATTAGCCATCCAGTTACCATTAAACTTGCACTTCCCCATGGCGCAAGCTCCCACTAGCTTGACCAGCTAATGTGCTCATCTAAAGACAGCCCCCTTTCACAACCAACCAACTGAATGTGTACGGTTCCGCTTACGCCAACATCATACACAAAAAAACGCTGAACACCAACTAGGAATTCATGAAAATTTTATAGAAATAAAAGAATCTTGTTTAGTGGGCCCTTGGAAATTTAAGACCTTTGGAAACTGTATTTAAGGATTATTTGTCATTTTTAAGGATTTTTAAGGCCTTAAATTTGGAAACGCCAATTTAAGACTTTTTAAGACTTTTTAAGGACCCGCGGATACCCTGTAATAGATGAAGTTCAGGGATTTGGTTTGAAAACTTTACTAATTATGTTTGGAGGCAAAAAAAGATGTTACTGCCAGTGAAGTTCCACACGTGTTTTGTTTCCATTTCAAATGATGGAAAAAGTAGAAAGAAGCCAGTTTAGCGTACCACTTTCACACAAACACCATTAAAGCAAATGTGTGTTTCAGTATATGGAGTAAAACTATGGAATAACCTGGATGATGGTCTGAAAAATCTAACTATTGACCAATTTAGGAAATGTATGAAGAAAAAAATGATCAAATCCAATGATGATGAGTGAACACTGAAAAGGATAATGATAAGCTTTCATTGTGATATGGTTTGCAAAGATAAGAAAGTTGTACACTTGGTGTGGATAAGGCCATTTTGTAAATGACGTCGTAGTAGAAGGGGTAGGTCGTATGAGACTCTTTTCTCCTCTCCGTCTTTCACTTGGAAGATTGCACTTGATTGTTTTGTGAATTAATTAAGAATGAAATAAACAAATGAAATAATGTCTAAAATAAAGCATCACAAAAGCTGCCGCTGCCGCTTTTGTCTCTGATCTTTATTGAGAAACCGGAGAACACGTGGAACTGAGTGCAAACAAGCTGGAGAACTACTGGTGGCATGATTCTGACCTTTTGGGTCAGCATTAGGGAAGAGACGGTTCCACGGTACTTTGCAGCGCAAAGGCAGGGACAGAAGATAGTTCCTGGCCTTGATGTTGATGATGCAGTTGAGATCTTCCTGAGATGGAGAACCCAGGATCCCTGGGAGACAAAAACCAGACCTTTAGAAAAGCATCAGAGTCCCACAGGAAATGTTCTCATTACATAAGAAGGTTTTTAGTTTTTAAAAAAAAGTCTCAACAAACATGTTGGCAGATGGATGAAGCAGTATGTTGTCCTGGAGACACAAAACTAAAGACATAAGGACTGTGGACGTCCTCCCTGCTTCCTGAAACAGACTTGTGTTTCATCCCATCTTACTCCTTAACGGGGACCAGCCGTAGTCGTCACGTGCAAATCATAAATGTTTATGAATGATGTGCATTTATTTGAAATCCTCTTAAGCAGTTTTCTAAACTTTCCCCACCAAACAAACATGTGAATGTGATGGCGGCCATTACCCAGGATGTGGTTGAGCTGATCCAAGTAGTGCTTCCCGGGAAAGATGGGCCTGTTCGACAGCATCTCAGCAAGAATGCAGCCCACCGACCAAATGTCTATGGACTTGGTGTAGCCCTGAGGGGACACAAAGACCTTTACAGTCCATCTCCATCCACAAAACGACGGCTCTCATACAGGAACAGCGTTTGTTTCATGTAAGAAGAATTATTTTAAATCCATGCATCACATTTAGGAAGCAATAAAACCAAAGAGGGAAAACAAACACTGAAAACTAGTGATGCACAGATATGACATTTTTGTGCCGATACCGATATTAAGATCACTGTTTTGGCCGATAACCGATATCTGCCAATACCGATAAACTGACATTAATGCTTCTAAAGTCAGCCGATTTTGTATAGAATGAAAATTATTAAAGCTGAATTTACATTATTATGTACACACAACACACACATCTAGGGTTCTGAGATGATTACAATCACATGACTACACAAATACACACCACCCCCCACCCTCTGAAACAGGCAAACAAATGGAGACGAGATGGAAAAAATATCGGTTGTTAATATTGGCCCAGTTTTATTTATCAAACAGATACCGACATGTTAAAAAATGACCAACTAAAAATGACTGTGTGGGCGTCAGAACGAGCCCCCGCACCGCGAGAACAAACATCTCAGCTCTAAAGCCGATCTTCATCCGCGTACGTCGCACGTCACGTGATCAGGAAGCAGAACGTCCGTGTGCTAGGAGATCGTTTTGGGCCGCTGCTGTTAAAAAAAAAGTGAGGCGCAAACCGGAAAAGCTTCTGCCGATCACAATTCAACAACGGATTAAGAAAGAACGGATAGAGCTCGAAACGCGCAGATTCCTCCTGATGTAAGAGGTGAGTCGCTGCTTTGTTTTGGCGTCGACATCATCCTAGCACGCAACGCTCTGTGACTCTTGAAAACGGTGAAAAAGCTGAAAATCACTGGCAGTGAGGGGCTTTACTGATCAGGAAACGGCTGGCAGTGAATGAGTTAACATGTAGCGACATCCACCACGCCACACCCCCATAGTAGATAAAGAGGCCTTGGACATAGAGTGTGGTGTTTACACCCAAAGGAACCCAAGCTGCAGATGCAACAGTTAAGATATTTTTGTAAACTATAATTTTGTCTCTAATTGTTGTTTCCCAGGTGTACCCAAAGTACCTAGTTCCATCATTAATCCAATAATAACACCTCAATCATATTGATAATCTGTAACTTTATGGAATATTACATTTTATTTAAAACTTTTATACAGGTCCTTCTCAAATAATTAGCATATTGTGATAAAGTTCATTGTTGTCTGTAATGTACTGATAAGCATTAGACTTTCATATATATTAGATTCATTACACACAACTGAAGTAGTTCAAGCCTTTTATTGTTTCTAATATTGATGATTTTGGCATACAGCTCATGAAAACCCAAAATTCCTATCTAAAAAAATTAGCATATCATGAAAAGGTTCTCTAAACGAGCTATTAACCGAATCATCTGAATCAACTAATTAACTCTTAACACCTGCAAACAATTCCTGAGGCTTTTAAAACCTCCCAGCCTGGTTCATTACTCGAAACCGCAATCATGGGTAAGACTGCCGACCTGACTGCTGTCCAGAAGGCCATCATTGACACCCTCAAGCAAGAGGGTAAGACACAGAAAGAAATTTCTGAATGAATAGGCTGTTCCCAGAGTGCTGTGGGAAGGAAAAAGTGCAGCAGAAAACGCTGCAGAACGAGAAGAGGTGACCGGACCCTGAGGAAGACTGTGGAGAAGGACTGACTCCTGACCTTGGGGGACCTGCGGAAGCAGTGGACTGAGTCTGGAGTAGAAACATCCAGAGCCACCGTGTACAGGCGTGTGCAGGAAATGGGCTACAGGTGCTGCATTCCCCAGGTCAAGCCACATTTGAACCAGAAACAGTGGCAGAAGCGCCTGACCTGGGCTACAGAGAAGCAGCACTGGACTGTTGCTCAGTGGTCCAAAGAACTTTTTTCGGATGAAAGCAAATTCTGCATGTCATTCGGAAATCAAGGTGCCAGAGTCTGGAGGAAGACAGGGTAGAGGGAAATGCCAAAATGCCTGAAGTCCAGTGTCAAGTACCCACAGTCAGTGATGGTCTGGGGTGCCATGTCAGCTGCTGGTGTTGGTCCACTGTGTTTTATCAAGGGCAGGGTCAAAGCAGCTAGCTATCAGGAGACTTTGGAGCACTTCATGCTTCCATCTGCTGAAAAGCTTTATGGAGATGAAGATTTCATTTTTCAGCGTGACCTGGCTCCTGCTCACAGTTGCAACACCACTGGTGAATGGTTTACCGACCATGGTATTACTGTGCTCAATTGGCCTGCCAACTCTCCTGACCTGAACCCCGTAGAGAACCTGTGGGATATTGTTAAGAGAAAGTCGAGAGACACAAGACCCAACACTCTGGATGAGCTTAAGGCCGCTATCGAAGCATCCTGGGCCTCCATAACACCTCAGCAGTGCCACAGGCTGATTGCCTCCATGCCACGCCACACTGAAGCAGTCATTACTGCAAAAGGATTCCCGACCAAGTATTGAGTGCATAACTGAACATAATTATTTGAAGGTTGACTTTTTTGTATTAGAAACACTTTTCTTTTATTGGTCGGATGAAACATGCTAATTTTTTGAGATAGGAATTTTGGGTTTTCATGAGATGTATGCCAAAGTCATCAATATTACAAACAATAAAAGGCTTGAACTACTTCGGTTGTGTGTAATGAATCTAATATTTATGAAAGTCTAATGTTTATCAGTACATTACAGACAATAATGAACTTTATCACAATATGCTAATTTTTTGAGAAGTGCCTGTATTCTTTTGACAATGTTTTAAAAGTAACCACTTAGAAACCGTTAGTGTAACAATGGTTTAACTTATTTGTCTCAAATGTTTCAAGCACTTTCAAGGATTTCAAGCACCTTATAGAACCCTGAGCTTTTGTTTTCTCCCACCTTGGAGTTGAGCATGATCTCTGGAGCTCGGTACCAACGGGTGGCCACGTATTCTGTTAGGAAGCCAGTGTGGTCGTGGTCTGGATCGGCTACACGGGCCAAACCAAAGTCACAGATCTGCAGGAACAAAAACAGAAGACAAGTTTGAAGCTCGCAAAAGAAAGAAGAAAGAAAACGATCTTTTATGTAATGCCTCTCAAGATTAAAATCCCTAGGCGCTTCCCAAGAACAAAAACTTTAAAATATATATACCGTAAATCCTCTAATACAGGCCGGTATTCAATTAAAGGCCGGGTCTCCAATTTTGGCCGGTGTCGGAGTCAGCGGAGGTAAATAATGGCCGGTCTCTTATTGTGGCCGGATGGAATGTGGTAACAAGCAAGTACGAGAGTCCCGGCGGCAGGGTTATAGTCCCCAAATCAACCAGCAGGAGGCAGTAGGGGTTCGCGCAGACCTTTATTAGGCTTTTTCTTCAAGCTTTGTAACGCTTCAGACACGATCCTCTATCACGCTCCTACCACACAGAGTCACGGTGTCAGTTAACCATGCTAATTCAACCCGCTCCACAGAACACACATCACCTTCCCTGTGGCTTACATAACACTCGCACAACACGCAAATCAGCACATAGGAACTAGCAGAATGATAGGAAACACATATAACACAATACCCAGAATGCACCTGGCTTACAACCCCAGCCAGGTCATTACACTATCAAGTTCAAAGAGAACGTGCTGATTATGCTGCAGAACACTCTGGAGAGCAGCAGTAGGGGGTGTATGAACTACAGTAATCCCTCGTTTATCGCGGTAGATGCGTTCCAGACCTGGTCGCGATAGGTGAAAATCCGCGAAGTAGGGACTCCCAGCATGCCCCTCGCGGGGATTCCCTCCACGTCGCACCTACGTCACAAACCGCGGCTATAAACGGAGGTCGCCTTTACAGCTCAGTCATCGTTTCTTCAGATTCACGATCAGAGTTTCCAACCTACCAATCAATCCAACGAACTATCAGCTCATAGTAAGTTATCTTACTTACTTCTGGAAAGCCCGGCATTTCCGTGTCACTTCGTTGACGCTCGAACGCTCGGGGGTTTCCTAGAGCAGCCGGCGTTTCACCGACGCTATCACTTCCGCGTCTGTGAAACCACGCTCCCGTAGGTACTGACACGCGATCGTTCATGTTGGTTCATTTCCTTTAATGTTTTCTGTCTTTTATTTGCGCCTGATGTGTATCGCTGCTGTGGAGCGGGGCGCATCAACACCTCCTCCGACACACAGATCACTGATGCGGCCGGCAAGCAGGGAGCGCTCCGCTGTTTTCGCGGTCGGTAGATCTGCCTCCTGAGCACGGCCACAGTAACAATCAGGTGTCACCACCTCAAAAACTAATTTAACACGCGATCGTTCATGTCAGTTCATTTCCTTTAATGTTTTCTGTCTTTTATTTGCGCCTGATGCGTTTCGCTGCATGCTGTGGAGCGGGGCGCTGCGCGCATCACCTTGTCCTCCGACGCACTGATCACTGATACGGCCGCCAAACAGCGAGCGCTCCGCTGTTTTTGCGGTCGGTAGATCTTTTAGAACTGCAGTTCAAAGGTAACTCATGAGGTGAATATATATGAACCCAGGTAGCAGTTTTTCTTTAGGATTGAGAGGAGATGCAGGAAGATAATAAACAGACAGGACAGAAAAATAGTCAAATAAAAACAAGTTAGTTTTTGTACCTGCTGTTGCAACAAACAGACACCATTGAAGGTAATCAGAAGTGAGGAACAGAAAATGAAATAATTATTTTAATGTTTAGAGCAGCAGGAACTCCGAGAGGCTGCAGGCGCATCAGTGAGTTTGCGGCTGCTGCACAGGGGGAGGGGGGAGAGGGTTGAAGCAGAAACTACCGTTGTTAAAAGAAATGTGTTTAACTTTGAAAATGTGGGCGCAATTTTAATTGTCAAAAACTCCAGCGAACCATTAGTTCATTTTGCTCAAATAGAAATAGAGGCCTGCCTCTAATACTGGCCCTCCTTCCAATAAAGGCCTGGAGCTTGATGAGCTTGAGTCAAATACAGGCCCGGGCCTGTATTAGAGGATTTACGGTATATATATATATACATATACAAAGATTAAAGATTATTAAAGACCAGATTAGAGGTCTTCCAGCCTCACAGAATGAAATTAAAGTGGGAGAAGACATGGCATGAACCTGTTTTAATGAAACCTAGCTGTAGGATCTCTTTAGGTGAAATGATACCTTCAGATCACAGGTTGTATTGAGAAGGAGGTTTGAGGGCTTCAAGTCACGGTGCAGAACGTTGGCAGAGTGGATGTATTTGAGCCCTCGTAGGATCTGGTACAGGAAGTAGCAGATGTGGTCGTTGCTCAGGTGCTGGGTCTTCAGGAGCTTGTACAGGTCTGTCTCCATGAGATCCTGGACGATATATCTACACAGCTAGAGTTAAAGATGTTCTACCTTGGCGGAAACAATTCATAGTATCAAATCTTTGTTCTGGAAGAAAAACCCTGGGCTAATCTTCTCTTTAACATTTCAAAACAATACCCCACAAAATAAAGAGCTGCACGAAAATAAATAAAGACTAAATTTTACTTGGAGTTAGATGAAGGTGAAAGCGTGAAATCTTAACTTCAGACTTAGACAACTCACAATCCAACCCTCGAGAACCAGTGAAGAGAATTTCAGGCAGACAGGAGGTCATTATGTAGTAAAATAACAACGAAGATCGCAACTCAAACACGAGAGCGAGAGTGAGACAGAGAGAGAGACAGAGAGTGAGACAGAGAGAGAGAGACAGAGAGAGACAGAGAGAGAGAGAGAGAGACAGAGACACAGAGAGACAGAGAGAGAGAGACAGACACAGAGAGACAGAGAGACAGAGACACAGAGAGACAGAGACACAGAGACACAGAGAGACAGAGAGACAGAGAGACAGAGACACAGAGAGAGAGAGAGACAGAGAGAGAGAGAGAGAGAGTGACACAGAGAAAGAGAGAGAGAGAAAGTGAGACAGAGACACAGAGAGACAGAGAAAGAGAGAGAGAGAGACAGAGACAGACACAGAGAGAGAGAAATAGAGGTTTCCATGATACCAGAGGAAACCTGGAATGCTCGGATACACGTCCTTCATCTGATCGATGGTTGGTGCCCGGATGATGTCGTTAATTCCAATGATGTTCTCGTGCTTGAAGCGCAGGAGGATCTTGATCTCTCTCAGGGTTCTCTGGCAGTAGGTCTGATGTTCAAAGGGGCTGATCTTTTTGATGGCCACACGGATTTTGTTGTCCCGATCATACGCCGAGCTGATCAATAAATAATACAAAATCATTAATCAGGACTTTTGGTTGATGAACTAAATCCAATAAAACATCTTATTTGTTGACTCTTCTGTGAGGAACCTGGTACTCAGGATCAAAGTTATAGAAAAAGTCAGAACATAAAGTACTGAATGGACCGACCACTGTTCCCAAGGGCACGGTTTGGTATTTCTCCTCTACTTTCTCCTTTATTTTGAGGCTCTGCTCCGCTGAGGTACCTGGCAAGGCATGTGTCAGGCCGGCATCGTGATTCTGGCCCATGATTGGCTAGGGGGCAGAGTCAACGGTTGCATCAGTTTTTTGATTTCTATTTCACTGCCTGCAGCCATTTCCTGGTTCAGAGCCTGACAAAAAGCCATAATAAATCACGATCTGTCTTCACTCCTGTAGATTTCCAGGACATTTGCTTAATTCAGAATAGGGCTGAGCGATACGGACCAAAACTTAACGATATATTTTAGCTGAATTCCGATAGACGATATATATCTCTATATTTTTCCTCCTGTAACATATTTACAAGTTAACTCACTTCAAGCTGTCTTGAGAAATTATAAAGATAAATCAGTAGATTAAATGCATAAAAATGTATTGATTCTTGTCAAACTTTAGCCTTAGTGCCTATTCTCTACCAGTCTGAGCTTTAGAAACACTGGAACAGCTGTCTGTTCACTCACACACACGCACACACACACACACAAAACATGAACTTGAAATGGTTCTCCATGCCTTTATCTCCTCCTGTCTAGATTACTGTAACACACTACACACATATTATAACTGTTAAGGCCTTCTGCTCCAACCCGAGCCCTCAGGTCCACCCACCAGAACCTTCTAGAAGTTCCAAAGACCAGATATAAAAGTCGAGGTGATCGCTCCTTCTAGACTGTTGCACCCCGACTTTGGAATGATCTTCCTTTATCCTTATATAGCGTTGACAGTCTGGACACTTAAAAAAAAAAAAACAGCTGAAGACTCATTTAAAGCTGCTTTGACAAAGTTTTGTTTTATTATTTACTTAAATTTGTAATCATCTTTCATTTGTTTTATGAAATTTAATAATTTTATGACTATTTTTTCTGATGTTAATCTATTTCTGTTTTGAGATCATCGTTTAATTTTGTTTTGATCTATGTGAAGCGCTTTGTGATTCTATGTCTGCGATAGGTGCTATAGAAATAAAATTTACTTCCTTACCTTACTAAAACTAGGGATGCACCGATCAGGTTTTTTGCTGCTGATCACCGATACCGATATCAAAGAATGCTGATCACCGATACCGATCACCGATACCGATCACGTGGATTGGCCAGAAATTTTCTACAACATTATAATGAGTGCTACAAACTACATAATCTGGGAATAAAGGAAATGTAACCTAATCTAAAATTGTCTGTATTAGGGTTGTCACGGTGTGAAAATTTAACCTCACGGTTATTGTGACCAAAATTATCACGGTTTTCGGTATTATCGCGGTATTTTTTTTAAACGTGCTACATTTTCACACAATTAAATAAACCTTGTATGTCAGGAAAATATTGTCCTCAGTTTGTGTCTAAATTTTGCCTAAAATGTGTTATTTTGTAATTATGTTGTTTATTTGTTTACATTTATCCCCTTTAGTCTTTAAAATACCAATATTTGCCCATAACTTCGTATTTTATGTCTGTTTGATGTCATCATGTAAAAATATTAGATCAGATGATACTCAGTACTCAAGTAGCCTTCTAATCAGATACTTTTTTTTTTACCCTTACTTGAGCAATCCCTATTTCAGGAAAATATTGTCCTCGGTTTGTGTCCTTCCAGTGAGCTTTGCAGATGTGGGAAAATGTCATCAGGCAGTAATCATTGTTAAATTCATAATTATTCTCGGAGAGAGACCAACTCTTATCTGCCGCTGGGAGCCCCGTAATGCATAGCGTCATTTCAACATGGGGGTGTCCGTGACACGGTTTATATGCAGGTAGCGGCGCTGCGGCTGCTTTATATAGCGACTCGTTGCATTCTCCCTCAACCCAAATCCTCGGATCACACATTTTAGCTAAAACGCCAACGTTAACTTGCCTTGCGTTGACTGTAGAGTTGTGGGTGATGGTCACGCAGATGTGTCATGAGATTTGAAGCGTTGCTGCCTTTCACAGACACTCTTTCTGCACGTGCTGCAAACAGGATAGCCGTCTTCTATCAGCTGTCCCTCGGCATTCTTCAAATATCCAAAATATGCCCGTACTTCCCACTTTGTCTTCTTTGAGGGATGGTAAATGTCCTCCTGAGCGCTGCCGTCTCCTCCTTTGACCATTATTTCAGCTTTAGCTTCAAGAAAGTTTTGTTGTAAACAAAGCGTGTATGTGCCGCCGGCAACTTCAGCAGATGATACGGTGGCTGGTAAGGGTCACCGCGCCTACACCGCAGCCACGGTAAACCCACCAAGATAATATAGTTTTTTAAAAACAAGACGGTTATTATTGTCAACTTTTTTTTTTTTACCGGGGTTTAGCGCTACACCGGTTACCGTGACAACCCTACCTGATCGGTTTGCTTTGATCTATTTTGAAACTTCCGATCAAAACTGATAGGGGCGCTATCGGCCGATTACGATCAAATGCCGATCCATCGGTGCATCCCTAACTAAAACTGACAAAAATGTCCAGCAACACCCCCATTTTTCAGCTGAGTTGTGTTTCTGTGGAGCATAAAGGTTCCCTTACACTGTTTAACCAGCTCAATAGCCTAGCGGTAGAATGTCCACTCTGCGACTGGGACATCGGGGTTCGATTCCATGTCGGGTCATACCAAAGACTTTAAAGATGGTGCCCAATGCTTCCCTGTTTGACACTAGGGCTGCAGCTATCGAATATTTTTGTAATCGAGTACTCTATCGACTCTTTTTTCAATTAATCGAGTACTCTAATGACCCTTTTGTGTTTGTAAACCATTATATCAAATAGCAATTGTTAAAAAGACAGACAAACCAGAATGAATTTTTCTTTAATTCTTTCAGGAAGTCTTTTCTGATTTCTCTGCATCTGTAGTATTGCCCGAGCATGCTCAGTGTCAAGAAAAGACAAGTGTGTGAGGGGTGTTGCCATGGAGACAGGAATACAATGGTTTTCTCTGCAGCAGCATAGTTATGCAACCACACTGTAACCATGACGATGTTGGAGCAGTAGGACTTGGGGGGGGGGGGGGGGGGCATACTGAAGTGAGCAGATCTGAACATGGAAGAAGGAAATAGATAGATGGATCAGAACCAGAGGCCTTATGGCACCCCGGGGTCAAAGTGTCGTTTTAGAACCGCCGGCCACAGACAGAGCTCTGACTGGTCGGCTGTGTGTGGGAATGCATTTGTGGTGCCATGACTGATCGAATAAATAAATGATTAGTTTTAATCTTTCGTTTCTGTACAAAAGATCCTAATTTTATATTCACCAGGGAAATCTGGCAAGTTTAGCTTTTTAGTTAAAGGGGCAGTAGAATGTAAAGCAACATTTTCCTTGTTGAATTAAGACAACTTGGGTGGTCAAATGTAGCATACCAAAAATTCTACGCCGTGTCCGACTTGTATTCTGTGAAAATTAGAAATGTAAAAAAAAGCACATGAAAAACTCCTATTCTGAGCAGGCTGTGATGACGCGTCACAATAGCCACTCCTAGGGCTGCTCGATTAAGGCAAAATTGATAATCACGATTATTGTGGCAGGGTGGTTACAGCTAGGGATGAGCCGCGGATAAAGCATTTTTGACGAATACGAGCATGAAACTCGTAAATATCTGTAATCGTGCTGAAGAAAAATCCTCATTGGGTAACTGACTGCCTTCACGCTCTGTGATTGGCCAGTCACATGGAGCACCCGCCCCTCCCTTCACACAAAATTCTGATCCGTTCCACGCGCACACACTCAGACAGTAACGGATCTCTCTGTGATTCCATGCTTTCGTTCTTTTTTAAACACAGAAACAGTTTTGTTTACCTGTTTGTAGCTATGGTTTCGCCGACAGCTGCCGGCTTCTTCAGGCTGACGCTGATGGTGGCGCGTCACTTCCTTCTCCGTCAGCCTGAAGAAGCCGGCAGCTGTCGGCGAAACCGTAGCTACAAACAGGTAAACAAAACTGTTTCTGTGTTTAAAAAAGAACGAAAGCATGGATTTACAAAGACACAGCAAGAACACACCTAAGACTCTCTGTGATTGCTTCACTGTTGCTCATGTTTCTTCAGTGCTCCCTAGGTTTTCTTCAGCTCGCCTCTTTTTCGGTTGAATATTTAAAGTTACTTTTTTCGTAACTTAAGTGGTGCATTTGACAAGACAGAGCTGAAAACGGAAGAGGAACATGGCAGAAGCAGCGAGACCCAAAAAAGTAAAAACTTCTAAAGTTTGGGAGCATTTTCAGTTTAATCAGGCAAAGACATTCGTTACCTGCAACGTTTGTAGGTCAGACTTAGCATGGCACGGGAGTACTACGGTGATGATGCAGCATCTTAAACGCAAGCATGCCGAATCATCAGCGAGGAGGGAGAGAGCTCGGTGTCCGGGTACGTAAAAAACTTTTCAAAAGTGATTCACCCAAGCCCCGGATTATTACACAGGCTAGACATGCGCTAAACTCGTAAAAAAAGTCTAAAATCGTAAGCGCAATGCTATTAGATAAACGGGGGGGGGGGGGGGCTCGCGCTGCTGCGAACCGGTTCCGCAGTCACATTCCCGCAGAAACTGGTTGATTACACCGGGGCCAGACTATTAACACCACAATGTCCTCTGAAGCGAAAACGCTTTTAAAAGGGAGGGAGAAGTACTAACTATCGCTGCAGGCATGTTGTGTGAGAGAGAGTGCAGTTATTTACTGGTTAATATATTTTTGGGTTCAGTTGCTTTCATGTGGCCTAATGTGAGTCTATTTGGGATCATTGGAATGATCAGCAGCATTTCTTGATGTGACTTTATGGCAGTTGCCCAGGGAATCATCGCAAGGAGGATGGCATTCATTTA